TCAACCTATGAACTAAATACACTTTTATTCACCGAATCACATGAACAAAAATGTGAAACTAAATCACAATGCTTAACCAACTCAAAGTCTAATGAGTAAACTAAAGCATCTTCATGATTCATTGTTTGTTTTTTTCTCCCAAACAAGAAACATTTAAAACAGATATCATGGTCTGTTGAAAACGCAACAATCTTAAGCAAATGCAAAACACTCGCGACATACCTTACAAATAAAGAGAGAATCCCAAATAGTCAAAGAGAGAGAAGAGAGACAACAACTCTCGAACCAAATGACACAATCACTAAAGTCTTCTCAGATTTTTTGAATCTGCGAAAAAAAAACAAAATAACCCAATGATCAATGGATGATATGAATAATGAATTCGACACTGATATTCATCGGCAAAAGAGCAGAAAAATTGTACGACTTATTCATGAGATATAAACCAGAAAGAAGACGACGGAGGCTCGTCGAAGGAATTGAGATGTAGAATCAGACAATTAGATCAGAGAGAAGACAGCAGAAACTTATCGAAACCAGAAGTATAACCAAAGACAGTGGAGCTCGTCGAATTCCACTACCAGCGTTTTCCCCTTTTTGAGAGATTTAGGGTTTTCCAAACCCAGAAAAAAGCTTTATGGAGACAATTGATTTTTAAGATTTAAACAAATCAAAAGAATATAAAAGTAACTAATTTCTGAATGAAGAGGGAAAAAATTAGTTGATAAAGGAGGCTGATGAGTGTGAGCAGTGATGGTTTGGATTTGTCGAGAGAAAAAAGGAAAAAGAAGAAGAAGTTTTAACGTAGGAATATTTGATAGTTGTTTCTCCTTTCAACGTAGAATGTTAATCCTTGTATTCTTCTCCCATATTTAGTCTATTACTCTGATTGTTAATGACTCGTAAAATTTTAATTATATTGAAATTAATTAACACAGATTTTAACTAAGGTAGAATATAGGTTGTGTTAATGGAATAATGTAATGAATTGGATAATTACGTTTTTTGGAATATTTAATTTTTGAAGTATACATGATCTCTGATCTTTTTTGCCGGAGGATTTGAGACCACCTAAATCTGTTTGATCTTGAATCTTCCGGAGAAATATGCGGTGCTTTACGTTTACGCGATTCCTACAATGCAAAGTTAAACGTAGGCATTAGTTTAAGATGTTCATAAGAAATGTTTTAATTGATTTGAAATAAACGTATAAGAGATCGACAATTCTATCTAGTTTCATACTACGAACGTCACTTACCATGGAATCTTGATTTCTATTCACGTTCTCTGTTTTTTTTTTAATCTATAGTTGTTTTGATTTTTCTTCTTGGGTGTTGGTTTGTAATTTGTTTAAACATGAGAGTTATTGAATTGTGATAATTAGGTTAGTAAAATATATTTTAGTAGTAAGTTTGAACGTCTTTCTTAAGCCAAAAATATGAAATTAGTTTGAAGGTCGTAGTTTAAAAGGAGGTGGAACGTTTGTTGACTTTTGATTGTCTACAAATGTGTAAGATTCTAATTTATTAAATAATATTGGAAACTAAACATTGGAAACTAAATATGATGGTAGAGTAAGTTGTGGTAATAGATATTTTAAAATTTGATTTTAC